TGGGCTCTGCTTCTAGAAGCCTCACTCAGAGCATCCCCATTCTACAGATGAGGCCACTGAGGTGCCAAGAGATGAAGTAACCTGATCAAAGTCCCACCGCGGTATCTGGGAGAGACTCAAACCCAGGGCCCTGGGGCCAAGGTGTTTGCTGTGATCCAGAATCAGATGCCGCCCCTGCCCTTGCGGTGTCCCCAGCCTGCTGAGGGGGGAGCTGCCCGCCGAGAGGGAATGGCCTGGCTGCGCAGAGTGGCAAGACCTAGACTGGAAGGGAAGGAGGGAGCGCTAAGGAGGGCAGCCCAGTGGCAGGCCTGGCTTGGTAGGGAAGGCAGCCAGGACGACCTCCCTGAGAAGGGAGAAGGGGCGGGGTCTGGAGGGAGACGGAGGGGTTTGCAAGGTGGGAAAAAGGGAAGGGCACTCGAGGTAGAGGAAGAGGATGTGCAAGGCGGGGTGTTGGGAAAGAGGCCCGGAGGTGGGGCTGAGTGTTGTCAGGGTGTGTGCGGGCCAGCGCGGGCCTGGAACCAAGAGGGCAGGGACCAATCTTAATGTGACCTTTGAGCCTTTCTTGGACGCCTGCTTGTGGAAGTCATAGGACATGGCGCGACTTGCCCTTGGAGGCAGGGGTGCGGGGGGTGTTGGGGGAAGCCGAGAGGAGGTTGAGAGAGAAAAAAGGCGAGACCAGAGTGGAGTCTGAGAGATAACTCAGGCCAGACGTGTGTGTGTGTGTGTGTGTGTGCATGCAGGTGTGCATGTGTCCTTGTGTGCATGCATATATGCGTGTGTTCTTGCATGTGCATGTGTGCTTGCATGCATGCATGTGTGCGGGGTGCGCATAGGCATGTGTGTGGACTGGAGGTGGGGCTCTCCAGACAGAAGGGAGCAGCCAGCACCAGTGCCCTGGGGCTGCAGTGAGGGAACTGGAAGCCTGCTTCATAGGACATGGTGCGACTTGCCCTTGGAGGCAGGGGTGTGGGGGGTGTTGGGGGAAGCCGAGAGGAGGTTGAGAGAGAAAAAAGGCGAGACCAGAGTGGAGTCTGAGAGATAACTCGGGCCAGACGTGTGTGTGTGTGCATGCACATGTGCATGTGTCCTTGTGTGCGTGCATATATGCATGTGTTCTTGCATGTGCATGTGTGCTTGCATGCATGCATGTGTGCGGGGTGCGCATAGGCATGTGTGTGGACTGGAGGTGGGGCTCTCCAGACAGAAGGGAGCAGCCAGCACCAACGCCCTGGGGCTGCAGTGAGGGAACTGGCCCGAGTTCACTCCCTCCTCTAACCTCTACCTGCAAGGACTTCTGGGATAGCAGGAAGGAGGCTCCAGGAGCACTGCCATGGGGGCAGTGGAGGGGTTTGTCTGCTGTCAAGTTGAAGCCGGGGTGAGTGACACTCCCATAGAGACCCCTCAGTGAGACTGGTACCCCGACCAGGCCTCAGGCCCGCCCCTGCCCCCTGCCCTCTGCAGCCTGGACCTGGAGTGGCCATACCACTGGCCTGCAGATCCGCACGCTGGGCTCCCTGTGGGCGCGGCTGAGTGACCCTGGGCCCCTCCTGAGCCCCTGTCTGAGCACACCACAGATGCACTGGTGATTGTTAGAGGTAACCCTTGGGACCAAAGGCCAGGGGACCCTGTGCTGAAATGCAAAGATGAAGGCTTGAGTTTTGTTAGGTTTTATTTTCTTTGTTCCGTCGGCAGCAGCTCTGCACTCTTATTTTTTCATAAAAAGGTATACATCTGAGTAAGACCAACCTCCACATTCCCGTGTAAATCAAAAACTGCTGGCCACGGGTGGAGAAAGCACAGTGATCAGAAATGTTTTTCTCGTTCTTTGATGGATACTCCGACCCAAATAACTACGAACACGGGAGATGAGCATGACAACCAGTAAAGGGAAGGCAATAGACATATGCGATTTTAGAATGAATTTGATCAGATAACACATGCATACAGTACGAAATTCTAAAGCTTCACCCAGCCGGTGTGGCTCAGTGGTTGAGTATCAACCTATGAACCAGGAGGCCATGGTTTAATTTCCGGTCAGGGCACACACTGAGGTTTCTGGACTGATCCCCAGTGTGGGGCGTGCAGGAGGCAGCTGATCCATGACTCTCTCATCATGGATGTTTCTATCTCTCCCTCTCCCTTCCTCTCTGAAACCAATAAAAATAAAATCTATAAAAGAACTCCCCACAAATCAGGCGCATGCCCTGGAGCCAGCCCTGCCCATTTTACACCAAAAAAAGTTACTTAAATGTTTTTTAGAAGATTTTGTTCATTATCAGAATAATATAGGATCATTAGAATTTTACAAAGAATAGTATAAAGTAAAGGAAATCACTCCTTTCCACTATCCAAGGTTAACCACTGTCAACATGTCAAAGTATTTCCTTTTGTCTTTCGTACATTGATATATCTAGATACCTTTTTGAGGTGATACTATTAATTCATTTATATTAATATATGTTGTATTGACTTCAAAGAGGAAAGGAGAGGGAGAGAGAGAGAGAGGTAGTAACATGCATGATGAGAACGAATCATTCATCTGCTGCATCCTACATGCCCCCTACTAAGGATGGAGCCCCAAACCAGGGCATGTACTCTGACAGGGACTCCATGTATGACCTCCTGGTTCACAGATCAAGGCTCAACCAGTGAGCACGCCTCCAGGGCAAGATGATACTATTTGTTATGTGTGTATCCTGATTTGTTTTCTCTTAGTTATGGTGTTTTCATTCCACTGCATCTATAACCACTTTCCCCCCGTTTATTAAGGCACTGTTTATTTTTCCCAGCTTTATTGAGAAATAATCAATATAGGTTGAACACCTTTTCACATTTTGGTGGGTTTTTTTGTTTTGTTTTTTTAAATATATTTGATTGATTTTTGACAGAGAGGAAGGGAGAGAGACAGAGAGTTAGAAACATCGATGAGAGAGAAACATCGATCAGCTGGCTCCTGCACATCTCCTACTGGGGATGTGCCCGCAACCCTGGTACATGCCCTTGACCGGAATCGAACCTGGGACCTTTCAGTCCGCAGGCCGACGCTCTATCCACTGAGCCAAACCGGTTTCGGCCTTTTCACATTTTGAAGAGCGATTTGTATTTCCTTTTTGGTAAACGGTCCGTGCTCTTTGCCCACTTTTCTATCAGGTTGTTACTTTTTTCCTTATTGATTTGTAGTCCGTCTTGAGATGTTAAAACATTACGCCTTCGTGACATAGCTAGCAGATGTTATTTTCCAGCCCGTCACCTGTCTTTTCACTTTGTGGTGTTCTTTGTCACTGCGACAATGCTGATTTATATCTGGTCAGTTTCGTGCAGTTTTTCTTTGTGATCTCTGAGTTCTGTGTCATGCCTGGCTAGGTCCTCTCTATTTTGCATTATTTTTAAGACTTTTCCGCATGTCCCTTTTCAGCATTTAAAAAATTTTAACTTTTCAGTTGTGAAATATAATGCAGGAAACATGCAAAAATATGAAAAATACAGCTTTATGAATTATTGCAAAATGATTATCTATATTCTTGTAATACTTTCATGATTTAACTTTTTACATTGTATCTGGCCCCATCTAAACTTTATTTTGGTATAATTTGCGAGACAAAAATCCCTCTTTATTAAAAAAGAATATATTTTTAAATGTTCATGGAATAGAATATTTTTATTTATTTCAGAGAGGAAGGGAAAGGAAGAGAGAGATAGAAACATCAATGAGGAGAGAGAATCATGAATCGGCTGCCTCTGCACACCCCCCACTAGGGATTGTGCCCAGCTGGGAATTGAACCATGATCTCCTGGTTCATTGATTGAAGCTCAACCACTGAGCCACACCAGTCGGGTGGACCCAGAAACATTTTAAATGTATACGAGGCATCCAAGAGTAGTAGTTGTGAGAATTAAAATAGAAGGTCTAACTAAAGGCACACACCGGGCGCTTAGCAAATATTCGTTACATATGTTCAACTTGTGTGACCTCAGTTCTAGTGAAAATGTAGGTTTGTCCCTGGAACACAAATAAAAACCTTAAACTAAAAAGTAGAATAAAATATATCCTCAAGATGCAGAAATTACTTTTTTTATTGGAATTTTCAGACTCTGTCTGTCCTACTTGATGCAGATATTTATCCTCATTTGTTGCCTTCCAAAGTCCGTTTTAGGTATTATTCGAGTTGTGTGGGAACTTCCATTTCTCTTGGGCATTGCTGGTGATTTCTGTGCTTACTCATCATTGTGTATTTCTCTTCCTCACATATTGAGGAAATGTCTGTTCTAGTTTTTACTGTATATACCATATATATATATAATCAAAACACACCTTTTAAAAAGCTCAAATGGTATAAAGTGGTCCAAGAGTATGGCATAAAGGGCTCTCCTTGGCCTGTGTTCCCCAGGCCCCTCCCTAGATAATCCTGTCATGCTTCTCTCGTAGCCCTAGAGCTGGTCCCTGTATGCAAGGACACATACATGCGCGCGCGCACACACACACACACACACACACATTTAAAGCATACACGTGTGCAGCTTTTGAAATTTGAATTTACTTACTAATATATGTTGCGGTTTGATGTTTTTATGGTTCACCCCTGTTGCTGAATAATATTCCATTGTGTAGATCTACTGAAACAGAGGGTCCTTATGACTTGCATTAAATTTATTTTTATTTTTATTTATTTATTTTAATGACCTCTTTTTTGTCTCTTAATCCTCACCCAAGGATATTTTCCATTGATTTTTAGAGAGAGTCGAAGGGAGGGGGAGAGACACAGAGAGAGAAACATCCATGTGAGAGAGACACATTGATTGTCTGCCTCCCACACACATCCCGACCAGGGTCGGGGATCGAGCCTACAACCGAGGTGCGTGCCCTTGACCAGAATCGAACCCGGGACCCTTCAGTCTGGGGGCTGACGCTCTATCCACTGAGCCAAACCAGCCAGGGCTTAAATTTCGTTTTAAATCCTACCTGTAGCAATAGAGCGCTCCTTCTCTCTCTCTCTTCACAGACCTAGTCTTTCCCCCAGATAATCAGCAGCCCCAGAGGCAACAGAAGACAGAGTCCGGACCTGAGTAATGGGCAGGCTAAACATCACATCTTGACCTAAATTATGTTCTAGCCTCGGAGCCCCAAGGTGGAGTGAGCCCCTGCGGGACACGGGAAAAGACGTCAGCAGGGCGCCGTGCCTCCAATTGGACATGCCGCTTGCGAAGCTAATTGGACCCTGCTCGGATGTTGTCTGAAGCTGACCACTGGGTATGTTGGTTCTGGGAAGGGACTCCGGTGCAGGCCAAGGTCAGACACTACCTGTGACTGGCCCTGGACAACCTGTTTGGAGCCACAAAGCGATCCACAGTGTGTGGTGCCCGTGCTGGGCCTGGGTGTGTGTGGGAAGGAACCAAGCTGTGCACCAAGGCCGGCTTTTACCAGCCCGGGTCCCGGGGGAGCGCAGCAAATGTCCCCGGGGACACCACGTCTAGCTGGGTGCTTGCACACCTTTGTGACGGGGCAGGGTCTCAGGGGGTCATCAGGGGGAGGCCGGAAGGGTTTATCAGGCCCAAGCAGACCAAGATTGGGCCGTGTGCAGGGAGGGCTCTGCACCGGTGGGGTGCTCGAGGGAAAGGGCCCCGTCCTAGAGCCACACAAGTCAGTCTGTCCCAACGTCTGCCAGGAGCCCCGGCTCAGCAGGGCGGGCCACGGGGAGTCAGGAGAAGGGGAGGTGCCAGTCAGTCTTGGGGGCATGTGGGGGTGTGCCCCGTCTTCCACTCCAGAGCCGCACAACTCAGTTGCCCAGGATCCTGCCCAAACCTCAGCAGGGCAGAGCCCCCAAGACTCCAGGGGGGCGGGCTGTGGGGAGTCAGAGTGTGGGGCTAGCGGATCTCCCGAGACAGGGAGGTAAGCAAGGCTTTCTCTCCATTCACTCTTGCTTCTCTCCATTTCTTCTGCTCAAATTTGACAATTTTGTTTAAAGAAATGTCATTAGTACCCTCAATACCTCTTTTCTTTCTTTTTTTCCCCATTGATTTTTAGAGAGAGTGGAAGGGAGGGGGAGAGACAGAGAGAAACATCTACGTCAGAGAGACACATTGATCGGCTGTCTCCTACACATGCCCTGACTGGGGCTGGAGATCGAGTCTGCAACCGAGGTAGGTGCCCTTGACTGGAATGGAACCCCTCAGTCCCAGGGCTGACGCTCTAACCACTGAGCAACTGGCTATGGTCCACCCCCCACCCCCCTTATTTCTAACCGCAGTACTGACCTCTGTTAAATGAGAACATGCCCTGTTTATGTGGGTTTATCTAAAGTCCTGGGACTTTGTAGTTACCTTCCTCACGTTTCTTAGACGATCAGTGCACAGACTGGTCCTTTTTCTTCCTTTGTCTTCCACCTACTTTTTCATCATCTTTTCTCTTGTCCATTCCAACTTGTCAGGCAAAATCCCTGCAGCTGTATTCGGGCATTGATTTACTGCTCCAGGGCGAGTGGCCGATGCCTCTGGGTTTTCTCATTGAATAGAATGTTAACTCACTTGTTCAGAACTGCTTCCAGTGTGGCTCAGTGAATAGAGCATTGGCCTCGGGACCAAAGGGTCCCGGGTATGATTCTGGTCAAGGGCACGTACCTTGGTTTCAGGCTCCTCCCAGACCCGGTTCCTGGTTGGGCCTCGTGCAGGAGGCAACCAACTGATGTGTTTCTCTCAGTCTTTCCCTCTCTCCTCCACTCTCTCTAAAAATCAATGGGAAAATATCCCTGGGTGAGGATTAAAAAATAATAATAAATAAAACTACTTGCTGATGTCATGAGAAAGAGATGGCAAATCCTGACCTTTCGGGAATTTTATTGGGAAAGGCAGCTGGCATCTGTGGTGAGGATTATTCCATTTTCCTCCCAACAAGGGGGCTATAGTGAGTCGGCCATGTTTGAAGGGCTCACCGTGACACCCCGAGTCACTGTAAGGTGGATCTTCTGGGCCCGGTGTGGCAGAAGGTGACCCCGGGAGGTGAGCAGTGCCAGTCCAGGGACAAGAAGAGCAGGGTCTGTGCACGAAGGTGAGAGGACTGTTTCAGGTCAGACGTTCTCAGAGTGTGTCCAGGGGCAGAGCTAAGGGCTGGTGCCTTCTCCGCAGGATTCCCCTTGCATTCTGGGATACTGTGGACAGTGTGCTGTCTCCTCTCTCCTGAGAGGCCTGCCCTATGGAAACAACCAGCAAATCCAGCTCAAGGCCCAGGACTCGGCCCAGGTACCCCTGAGACTGTCTCCACGGACACCCTAGAGCATCGATGATGAACCAGGAAGCCAAGTAAGTGATCTTCCCCCTTTGCCTCCTCTCTGTGCCTCCCGCTCACTCCTTTACTCCCCCACCCACTGCCAGGACTGCTCCCTACCCAGATGGGCCCCACTGGGCCTGTACCCAAAACAGCAAGCTTACACTTAGCCACCATTCATGAGAGTGAACATCAATAGACACAAAATCAGCAAGGGCCTAAGATAGCATCTAATCTGCCTATTTTATAGATGGTCTATCTGAGGCCCAGAGAGGGAAGGGACTTGCTGAAGGTCAGTTGTGAGTGTGTATCAGCCAGGATGGGCTTGTTTATGCTGCATAACAAACAGCCTACAAAGTCCCAGTGTCTTATGAGAACAAACGTTTATTTCCTGCTCCTCGTTCTTGTTGTGAATCAACTGGGGCCTTTGTCCACATTGTCCTCTTTCCTGGGCCCAGTCTAGAACAGCAGCCACGGCCTGGAGTACTGCCAGTCCCTGTGGGCTTCCACCCCATGACCCAATATGGCTGCCCAGGGCTCAGTCATCACATCATCATTCCAGCCACAGGAAGAAGCAAAGAAGGATACACAACCTTCTACCTACGTCCCATTGGCCAACACTTAATTACATGGCTGCATCTAACTGCAAGGGAGGCTGGAAATAGAGTCTGTTCCAGATGACCAGGGAGTATTCAGGGGTTCTGGTACTGAGGAAGAGAGGAGAAAAAATTTTGGGAGACAAGTGCTTAACTCAGACAGAGAGTATCACAAAGGGGTCCATGGGAACATGATGAATAAAGCATTCCCAGGACACCATCTATAGGGAATGAACTAGGCCATTTCAGAGCCAGGACACAGGTACAGTTGGCTTCCCCCCAGCTGCCTTATCCCTTTCCTCACCTATCTCCCAGCTCACCTGTCCCCACAGCTCACCTGTCCCCCAGCTCACTTGTTCCCCAGCTCACCTGCCCCCACCCCATTCACTTGTACCCCAGCTCACCTGTCCCCCAGCTCACCTGCCTACCCTGTCCCTGCAGGGCCAGCTCCTCATGGACCCCATTAGCCTCCAGCTGGGCACCAAGAACCAGTGGGGTTGGCTCGTGAGTCTGCTCAGCAGTGACCCAGAATGGCTGAGTGCCAAGGTGAAGTTCTTCCTCCCCAACATAGACCTGGGCTCCAGGGACGAGGACCCAGACCCCAGACAGAGGGTCCTCCTACAACTCAGGGAGCTGCACACCCACGGCCTGGCCACCTGGCAGGCCTTCATCCACTGTGTGTGCATGGAGCTGGAGGTGCCCCTGGAGCTGGAGGTGCAGCTGCTGAGCACGTGGGGCCATGGAGATGGTAAGGGCGTGCACGAGGGTGCAGAGGGGCTCAGGGAAGACAATGCCCCACTTGAGTCACACAATTGACTCAAGCCAGGAACACGATTCCATGTTTCTGGACACTTGCTAGAGCAAATTCCCTACTGCCTCCACATCAGCTGGGGACCTTCCCCCTCACACCATCCCAGTTGTCCAGGGAGGCGGGATGCCAGGAGAGAGAGAATAGGTGACTCCTTGCAGCCAGGAAATGCCAAATAGCCCATAATGCCCCAGAGCGTGCTTCTTGCAACGCGGTCAGAAGCAGGCGCAGGGAGAGCCCTCTGAGCTGGACTGCTGGTTGCAGATTGAACCTGTTCAGGTCCGGGGGCATTTCTCGGGCACCTTCTGCTTTTACAGCACTGTGGGGAAATGGGGAGGACTCACGCCATGTCTCCACCACGAGGCAGCGTGCAGGAAATGCAGGGGGCTCACCATGTGCACAAACACATGCACACGCGTGCATGCATGCATACACACATGTGCACACACATACCCGGCCACGCACAAACCTACATATACACACACATTTCTGTCCCCGGCTGCCTTCTCGGCTCATCACCAAGCTGTGCCCTCCACAGATCGCTGAGTGTAAACTTGATTTCTCCCTCGCTGGGGACTCACCCTTTGGGGTGATCCCTGAGACAGACATCAGAGCTGGTCCCAGCACATCCCATGTGTATTATACTTTCCCCCCTCTCTCTCAGAGTTTCCCGGTCCTTCGGAAACGGGTGCAGAAAGCCAGCCTGAACCTCCCCTCTACCTCGGTGAGGCCTGGGGTTGGGGAGCAGGAGGGGGGTGGTGAGCATGCTCGGTTCCCACGTCAAACCCAGAGGAGGCTGCTGGCTGGTCCCAGCCATTTCCCATAAACCGTCCTCCTCTGCCCCTGATGCACCTGCACATGTCCCCGCCCCTTTCCAAGCTGGATGCCTTTTATGTGTTTTTCTTGCCTCCTTGCTCTGGCTAGCAGGTCCAGGACTGTGTTGAATAGAGTTGGTGAAAGCGGGCATTCTTGTCTTGCTCCTGATCTTAGAGGAAAAGCTTTCGGTCTTTCACCACAGAGTATGATGTTCACAGTGTGGACTCTTTACTTAGAGGCGTGCATGGCAGAAACAGCAAGCTCTGACAGGAAACATCCAACCCACCATCCCAGCTCCCCCACAAAGCCAGACTGTTTGTCCTGGTCCCTGGTCCCTCCTGGCCCTTCTCACTGAGCTGCCTTCACTCAAACCCTGAGTGTGGGTCCACTTGTCTGCCTGCCTCGTCTTTGTGGAATGGAGGTTCCCACAGTACTGGGTTCCCACCTCCTCGGCCCCGAAACCTCACCCCTTACGCTTTCCTTCATTTTTTCCAGGCCTCAAGCGGCCTCGTCAGAGCTGCGGGTCCTCACCCCGCCGGAAGCAGTTCAGGAGGCAGCAGCCCGGTGGGTGCCAAGCGGGGGAGGAACCTGAACACAGGGATTGGATGGCACTGGGGCCAGGGCACAGATCCTGGGCTCGGTCCCCTGCCGACGAGCCTCCAGGGGCTTCGCGGCTCTTGTAGTCCAAGCTTCGATCCAAGAAGGATCGAAGGTCCTGGGTGGGCTGAGGGGAGGGCGGCGTCTGGCCAGGAGGGGCCCCCCCAACAGGCGGGGGGGGACTCCATGAAAGAAGGATCGAAGGTCCTGGGTGGGCAGAGGGGAGGGCGGCGTCTGGCCAGGAGGGGCCTCCCCAACAGGCGGGGGGGGGGCTCCTCCGGAGATGGCTCAGCTGAAGGAGCTGGAGGCAACCCAGCAGGGTGCAGCTTTATCATTTAGCTGCTCCCAGGGACACCCCATGTCCTCAGGGCTGAGGGGCCCCAGGGAAGTGACCATCGTAACCTCAGGCCTGGGCCCTCATTGGCCAGTTTAGAGGTACACAGGATACCAGGGAGAACTCCCCAAAAGCCCTGAGGCACACGGGGAGGAGACACGGGGCGCTGAGGACTGGCCAAGGGGCTAGAAGAGACCGAACTTCCCTTGTTTTCCACCAGTTGTGCAGAAGAGTCCTTGTCCCCCACCAGCTGGGAGACCCAACCCCCATGGGATATAAAATAGACTGCTACCTCAGGTCCCCCCGCTGGGGCTCCTGCTGGTCCCCAAAAGTGGCCCCAGTCCCTGCCCTGGTTCCACCCCAGATTTCCCAATAACTCAGCAATTCTAACATCAGTACCTGGCCCTGCGGGGGGCCCAGTTCCCACAGTTCTGATTGGTCAGTGCTGGACCTACAGGTCCTTAGCACGGCCCTCCCCCCCTGCCCTGGGAATTACAGAACTGAAAAATGGTGGGGAGGGGCACAAATTTCTCAGATATTGCAGGAAGAGGTTGTTCTGATAAGAAGTTGCAAAAAGAAGAAGTTGCAAAGGAAGTGCCCTCTCCCCTTTCCCCATCTTATTGAAAACTACGCCACCCATGCCGTTGCCACACACAGAGCCATGATCCCCACTTCGCACCTGGTTAAACAGCTGCCAGAGTCTCTGCTTCGGCTGAAGCAGTTCCTTCTAGGGATTTGGGTGGCACCAGAGCCCCTGGGTGCTCCTGCGACCCCCCTCCCACATAACACAGCTGGGGCTGTAGGATCCCAGAAGCTGATACTGGGATGAGGTTGGGGGCGAGGGGAGGTCTCAGCCTCATGTCATCTCCTTGCCCCCAGCAGAACTGGCCAAGAGGTACCTACAGCAACTGAGGACCTCGGCCCAGCAGCGCTATGGTGGCGAGCTCCCAGGGCCAGGGCAGCCCCTCGCCTTCCACCAGACCTACGTCCCCCCAATCCTGCAGTGGAGCCGGGCCACAGCACCCTTCAGCACTCAGGAGGGGGCCGTGCCGGGGAGCCCCAGGGCAGAGGACGCGGACCTGAGCCTCCAGGACCTCTTCGGCCCCAGGGCGGACAAGGGCCCGAGGGTGATGGTGCTCCTGGGGAAGGCGGGCATGGGCAAGACCACGCTGACCCGCTGGCTCTGCCAGAAGTGGGCCGACGGCCAGCTGGACCGCTTCCAGGCCCTGTTCCTGTTTGAGTTCCGCCAGCTCAACCTGCTGGCGGAGGCCCCGACGCTGCCCCAGCTCCTGTTCGACCTGTACCTGCGCCCCGAGGAGGGCCCCGACGCCGTCCTCCAGTACCTGGAGAGGAACGCCAAGGGGGTCCTGCTCATCTTCGATGGGCTGGAGGAGGTCCTCCACCCCCATCCCAGCGGGGAGGCCGCGGGCCCCGAGGCACCAGGCCCAGCCCTCGCCCTCTTCTCTGGCCTGTGCCGGGGGACCCTCCTGCCTGGCTGCAGGGTCATGGCCACCTCCCGGCCAGGGAAGCTGCCGGACTGCCTGCCCACCGAGGCGGCCACCATCCACCTGTGGGGCTTCGACGGGCCGCGGGTGGAGGAGTACGCGGGCCGCTTCTTCAGCAACCAGCCGGCCCGGGAGGCGGCCCTGGCGGAGCTGCGGGCAAACAGACATCTCCGGGGCATGTGCGCGGTGCCCGCCCTGTGCCGGATTGCCTGCCTCTGCCTCCGCCATCTGCTCCCGGACCTCCCTCTGGGCCAGTCTGCGGCCCTCCTGCCCACCGTGACTCAGAACTACGTGCAGATGGTGCTCGCCCTCAGCCCCCGCGGGCACCGGACCGACGAGGCCCTGAGGGGCCTGGGGGAGGTGGCCCTGAGGGGTCTGGAGACGGGGAAGGTGATCTTCTCTGCAGGAGACATCCCTCCTGCCATGATGGCCTTCGGGGCGGCCCTGGGCCTGCTCACCTCCTTCTGCGTGTGCACAGGCCCCAGGCAGCAGGAGCCGGGCTATGCCTTCACCCACCTCAGCCTGCAGGAGTTTCTGGCTGCCCTGCATCTGATGGCCAGTCCCGAGGTGGACAGAGACGCACTCGCCCGCCACGTCACCCTCAATTCTCGCTGGCTGCTGCGGACCAAAGCCAGACTGGGCCTCTGGGACCACCTCCCCATCTTCCTGGCGGGTCTGGCATCCTCCGCCTGCTCTCCCTTCCTCCGCCGCCTGGCGGAGCGGGGTGAGGCGTGGGTGGGCGCCAAGCAGGCCGCAGTCATACAGGCCCTGAAGAAGTTGGCCACGCGCAAGCTCACGGGGCCCAAGGTGGTAGAGCTGTGCCGCTGTGTGGACGAGACACAGGAGCCGGAGCTGGCCGGCCTCATGGCCCGAAGCCTCCCTGACCAGCTGCCCTTCCACAACTTCCCGCTGACCTACGCCGACCTGGCTGCCCTGACCAGCGTCCTGGGGCACAGGGAGGTCCCCATCCACCTGGATTTCGAGGGCTGCCCGCTGGAGCCCCGCTGCCCTGAGGCCCTGGCAGGCTGTGGGCGGGTGGAGAGTCTCAGGTGAGGAAGGGTAGTGCAGGGACCTGGACTTTGGGGCCAGTGGAGGTAACCCACCTGGCAGACCCGCTGCGGGAGACAGGGTAGGACTCGTGGGTACCAGGGAGGACGGGCCCTTCCTGACTGCGTCACAGGGGCACCGTGCCTCCCCAGGACCTCTGGGGTCCATTGGGTCTCCTCTTGTCGTGGGATCTGGGTTGTCAGTCTCCCTTTCTCAGTCATGGGCTGGAGCCGCTGATCCGGGCTGTGCTGCTCCAGGCTCTTTGACTTCAGTGTTATTTAACCTCTCAGCCTGCGTTTCCTCATCCCTCAAGTGAATCAGTAATAAAACCTACCTCATAGGGGTGTTGTGAGGTGAGATAAGGCATGAAAAACATTTAGCACAGTTCCTGGCCCACAGGAAAGGCTCAGTATGTGTAGCAGCTAGAGAAAGGGCTCCGCCGCAGGAACAAAGAACCCCTCACCCCACCCTCCCCAAAATATAATGGATTCAATACCGTAGCATTTTCTTTCTCTCTCTGGGAAGACTCAGCGTCCGGGTCCGTGGGATGGCTCAGCTTCACATGGTCGCACAGGGACCTGGTTCCTCCCATTCTTGCTCATCGTCTCCTTGGGCATGTGGAACTGCAGGGTCAGAGCTGAGACAGGGGCCTAGCTGTGCTCTGGCTTGGGGGAAGGAGAAGAGAGGTCATGGATTGGACACACTCCGTGCGGTAAAAGCTCATTCCTGGAAATAGGGCACATCCCTCCAGTCACATCCCAGTGGTGAGAACATACTAGTAGCCATATGGCCACATTGAGCTGCAGGGGAGGCTGGGAAATGCCGCCTCTGGCTGAAAAACCATCGTCCCAGGCATAGCTCCATGCACGGAGGATGGGTTTCCGTGGGCAGTTAGCAGTCTCTGCCATGATGAGTATTTGTGACTACTACAACCATTACAGCAACAGCAATAACAATTACTACATTTCCCCCCGCTAATCCTCACCTGAGGATATTTTTCCATTGGTTTTTAGGGAGAGGAGAAGAGAGAGGGAAAGACAGAGAGAAACACCAATGTGAGAGAAACACATCGATCGGTTGCCTCCTGCATGAGCCCTGACCAGGGCCTGGGCCAGGGAGGATCCTACAAACGAGGTATGTGCCCTTGACCAGAATCGAACTGGGGACCCTTCGGTCCACGAGCCGATGCTCTATCCACTGAGCCAAACTGGCTAGGGCAACAACTACTATTAACATTACTGTATTTATTCGGTTCCTTCTGTCGGAGGAGGGGTGGGCGTGACCTCTAAGCCCCGCCCAGCATTGATTATCTGCCACCTTGCCTCCCCCTGTGGCAGCTTTAAGAGCAGGAAGTGTGGGGACGCCTTTGCAGAAGCCCTCTCCAGGAGCTTGCCGACAATGGGGAGCCTGAAGAAGCTGGGGTGAGCCAGGACTTGGAATGGAGAGGGGTCCTCCACCGCTGGGGATGCCAGAACTCTCCTCCCTTCCCTCAACCCTATGCAGGGCAGATCGGGCCTACCTCCCTTCCATCCCCGCTTCTCCCATCCATCTTTCCTTACCCTGTAGGTTAGCAGGAAGTAAGATCACTGCCCGAGGCATCTACCACCTGGTGCAGGCTTTGCCCCTCTGTCCACACCTGGAAGAGGTCAGGTGAGTGATCTCCAGGAGGGTTCACCGGCCGAGGGAAGAGGTCACCGCCCAGGGCTTGCATGTTCAGGGGCCCTGACTGGTAGTTTTTCAGTATGGCTCAGAGAGGGGAGGCATCATTCTAAGATCTGGGTGGGGCTGGATCCAAACTCAAGGCTCCGAAAGACCCCAGACAAGAGCTTCTTTCATCTAATATTTTGGGCCGTTTTGAAGGAGGTTGAGTTTTGAGGCCCCCTTCCCTCTTTCTGTGACCTTGAGAGGGGGGTGGCAGTAAGTAGGCTGGTGTCAGGCACTGTGGGTTCCCATAAATGCACGAATCATACATACGCATACCTTCACATTCATGCACAAATGCATGAAACATACATACACGTGCACTTGTCTACTCTCTTAAGTACATGCCCCACATGCATGCACATTCGAAGGTGTGCATATGTGCAGTGCACACACACATGCACACTTAGCTCCACATACATACTCCTACCTGTGTCCGTGATGAGTGGCTGGAGAAGGGTGGGGCCAGGGCGCCTCCTCAGCAGCTCACGGGCGGACCCAGTGCCAGCTGGCACCTTTGTGAGCTTTAGAAAAAGCACCCCTTCATCCCTAGGTGCAGCCTAGCACTAGGGTGCGCCTCTTGCGTAATGGAGCATTAGCTGGACCACAGCTCTGCTCTGTCCCCCCTGCTGGGTGTCTCTATGCATGCTCACTGTGCCCGATGGAAGAAAAGATCAAGGTCACCCTCAATAATTAGAGAAGTAAATGTCAACAAGTTCAGCATTTCCAAACAAGTTTCCTGACCAGAGCGGTCACACACAAAGGCACCGCGAACTCTTCAGTTCTTCTGTCCCTCCAGCCTGGAACCCAGGCAGAACTGGGCTGTGGATGCCAGGAACCTGGGCAGGAGCCCAGGCAGGAACCCGGGCAGGACTGGGCTGTGGATGCCAGGAACCCGGGCAGGAGTCCAGGCAGGAACCCAGGCAGGACTGGGCTGTGGGTCCCATTTGATGGGTGAGGAATATGAGGTCAGAGAGGAAGGTGCTTGGCCTAGGGCTCTGCTGAGTCAGGGCCAGAGCTGAGGCCGGAAGCGGCATTTCCTGCAGCCCAGCCTAGACCACTCATCACTTGGGAGGCAAGAGGCCCTGATGAACTTGAGCCTCAGGCACATCCCAGACATGTTCCTGAGAGCAGGGTGCTGGGTCCCCTCATCCCACCTCACAAAGCCTTCCTAGTCCACCCGCTGGGTCCCTTGGGCCACCAGAGGGACTGAATGAGGACAGTATCGAGGCCAGCAGAGGGCCTTGCCTCCTAGCTGGACCTATTGAATCCCATGGAGCAGGTCACCAACTCCTTCTGGGACCCTGTGTTGTGTCTCCCCCATGAGGGTGGCCATGCCCGTCCCTTGCCAATTGGAGCTTCTAAGGGTCCCCACCCCAGGGCTGAGGGACTTGGGCTCCCTTGTAGCTTTCAGGACAACCAGCTCAAGAACCAGGAGTTGCTGAGCCTCGTGAAGGTCCTCCCTTGCCTGCCGACGCTCCGGAAGCTTGAGTAAGCGGCCCTTCCACCTGCCTGAGTCGCCCTCCGACCTCAGAGAGCAAAGGTCTGGGGCCCATGGGATGGGGGACTCACTCCTGACACCTTCGCCTCAATCATGCAGCCTGAGCCACAACCATGTCTCCATGGCGACCCTGCTGGGCTTGACCGAGGCGGCAGTCACGTGCCCGACTATCAGGATGCTGCAAGTCAGGTGAGCAGAAGGCGTGGGAGCCTGGCCTCCGGGGTCTTGAGAAAAGAGGAGGGGCTAGGAAAAGAGGAAGCCCTAGTGTGCAAGTCTGTTTTACTCACATCCGTGTGTCCAGAGCCTAGCTCGGGCCTGGTACCAGGTACTCAGCAAGTGAATGAATGGAAAGATGGATGGACGGACCAACAGAGGGATGAAGGAATGAATAACGAAAGGGGGAAAAAAAATCCAGGAAGTATGGGCATAGCTCGGAATGAGGCGCCGTGTATCGCTCTCCGTGGTGCTGAACCAGCGCTGCCTGTGGGATCACGGGCAGGTTCAGTGTTATCTATGCCTCTTACTCTTAAAACACAGGAACTCTCATAAAATCGGTGCGTTCCTGATTTCTATTATCTCTCTCGTAAAAGTTGTTTTCCTGGCTTTTTGAAACCCTGGATTCGTCAAGCAAGGGCGTCGTCACCTTTTTACATGTCTGATTTGGAGCACCTTAGCCGGTTTTGTGATTGTCAGTCACAAAGTCCGCTTCCTCTGGGGGTTTGGGACAGCACGGGGCGCGCAGGGAGGGGGTGAGGTGCTGGTTTCCACCCCACGGGTTTCATGGCTTGGTGTCTGGCCCTGCAGGGAGGCGGACCTCATCATCCTTCTCTCCCCGCCCACAGAGACAGCTGCGGAGCTACCTGGGTAAGAAGTTAGGGTGGGGGCTGGTCTGGGCTCAGGCCGTTGTGGGGAAAGGTGGCCAAGGGCGCTGAGGGCGAGCTGGGATGTGGGGATCCTCCTTTTTTGCTGCTGCTGCTGCCCTGAGAAGTGACTGACTTCCCAGAGTTGGCAACGGACTTCCGCTCCCAGAGTGAGCCAGCCCCTTGGGGTGGGGGTGGGGGAAAGTCTCCAAACTGCACAAAAAAGGGGGGGGGGGCAATTATGGTGCCTACATCTTACAGTTGTCCTGAGCATTAAACAAATTAATACATTAATGCTTAGAACCCTGCTGGCAGCCAGCTGGCACTCAAGTGCTGGCTCCTCAGCTGTGCATGGATTCCAGCTTGGCCAGCCCTGGGTGGCCAACGGAAGGGCAGTTGCCTTTCCGTGAAAGAACATTCGGACGGTGCGTCCCCACACCACTCCCAGCTGAGACTCCGAAACAGACGACGCTGTGGGTCCCTGAGCAAGTCCGTCCCCGGCTCTGAGCCTCACGCCCCTCACCCACAGTGACTCAGTGGGACCACTGTCCTTCTCCCCCCCGCCCCGACTGTCCAGAGAGGTGGTACCCAATACGGTAGCCACTAGCCACATGTGACTATTTAAACTTATATGAAGTAAAATGGGCATTTCATGTCATCAGTCACATCAGCCACATTTCAGGGGCTCGTTGGCCATAGGAGGCCAGTGGCTCCCACCACGGGGGGCCCAGACACAAAACCTTTCCATTGCCCCGGGTAGTTCTGTGGATGGCACTGATCTCCAAGTCAGTGTAAACGTGGCTCACACTGTCCCAGCTTCTCTCCCGCCCCAGCCCTCCCCGGGCCCAGGGGGAGGGAGCCTGGAGGCGCCGTGGCTATCCACAGCCTGACTCATGTATGGCCCGTGTTCCTGGCCTTCTGAACCGCGGATGGTACATCTACACGCGGAGACCATGGCCCCTTACACAACAGCGGATGCTTTTTGTTGAGCTTCACTTTCGTGTCTGTGGTCACCCCATTCAGTCCTCCCGTCACCCTATATGCCAGCTATTGTCATTTCCTGTCAGAAAAGAGAAAATGGAGGCTCTGAGGGGTGAAGTGACTTGCCCAAGGCCGCACAGCTCTCTATGGCAGAGTCAGCATTTGAATAAAGGTTCCCTTTGGCTCCAAACGTCTGCTCCTGCGGCTTCGCTGCATAGTGCCGTGAGCACCTCCAGCAGCCGGCTTTGTTGCTCATTCACTGTGGGTCATGCTAAGGAGGCTTCAGCCCCTAGAAGCCAAGAGCAGAGCCTGAGCTCCCCAGCCCAGGCCAATGTTGGACTTGTTCTTGCCAGATCCCCAGCCCAACGGGGAAACGCCGGCCAGAAAGAGGCTCGGAGCAGAAGCTTGGCCCTCAGGTACCTCGATGGGATCCATGGCCTTCGGAGGAGGGATGTGATAGGGGTGGAGGGTGTCTTCCCAGGGGAGGCGCAGAGTGGGGAAAGGGGAAAGGGGAAAGCAGACCTGGGGCAGGGAAAGGACATGAATAACCCATCCCAGCCTGAACAAGGAGCATCTGGCGCAACAACGGCAACAGTAATTGTCATTTAATGGGCCCTCGCTGTGTGCTGGGCACGGTGGTATTTTATATCCATCACCTCGTTGTTATTCTTTTGCACATTCTGCAAAGTCCACATTATTGTTCCCATTTGACAGAGGGGAACACTGAGTCTCAAATAGCTTAAGTGCCTGGTCCGAGATGACCCAGTGACTGAGAAGCAGGGCCAGGATTCAACACCAGGTCTGTCGGCCTCCTGGCTCCCCCAGGTCCCATGCCTTGCGGCGGGGCCAGGAGCCGGAGGAGGCATCGTGCAGCTTCTTGCCCTGAGCCCCTCTGCTCCCTGTGCCACCCCAGGCTGCAGAAGTGTTGCCTAACCGTCAGGGACGTGGAGATGCTCATAGCCCAGCTCCGGGAAGGCCCCCTCCTGGAGGAAGTAGAGTGAGTATCATGGGGTGATCTGGGGCAGAAGACGGGAGGGCAGGGCAGGGCAGGGTAGGAAGGGCCTCCGTTTGGGGTGGACAGTGTGGGGAAGATGCCTCCTTAAGGATCTGGGGGAAGCTATTATATAATAGCTACCGCTTCCACCTGGCAGGGTGTGACCTGTGTGTCACTCCTGCCTGTCCCCTTCGCTCCTTCCCGCTGCTCAGGATGAAGCCCGAATCCTAAAACCCCATGTGATCCGGAACCCTGCTCCCAGCCCCCAAACCCCATCTGACCCCGCCCTCCGCTCGGTCTTCCCTCCAGACACACAGGCTCCCTTTCCGGTCCTCAAATGTGCCCTTGGTGGACTGCTCCTCCGGCCCCATCTCTCTCCGCCCCTTGCTGATTGAACTAGTTTCGCTAGCCTGCAGCTCAAACATCAGGGAAGCCTTCCCTGACCCCAGAGCAGGTCATATGCCCCCATCATCATGAAGTTGGTCACAAGAAGCACTCGTGTAGGTTGTGGCATAAATTAATGGTTGCGGGCGGGGCCGTGAAGTCAGGCTGCCTGGGTTCAAACCCCAGGTCCGCCTTTGGGCAACTGCCCTAACCAGTCTGAACCTTAGCGTACTCATCAGTAAGATGAGGGTAACAATAGCGCCCACGTCGTAGGGCTGTTAGGGGGAGTAAAAATGCCATCGTTGCAAAGGCCCCTAGGACGGTGCCTGGCAGGCCGTACACAGTCTTTTACACTCATTATTATGAAGGATCACTTACCGGAATGATGTTTTGCTGGAAGTCAATGAGGGGGAGCGTGCATGTGGAGGGCTGGGGAGGGACCCCCCCAGCAGCACAGGCAGCGGGCCCCTCTGTCTCAGTCTCTCAGGGAACCAGCTGGAGGACGAAGGCTGTCGACTGGTGGCAGAGGCTGCCCCCCAACTGCACATCGCCGGGAAGCTGGAGTGAGTGGCCCACCCCACTGTTGGGTAACAGAGCCCCGAGAGTCCCAGAGGGTCCCCATGCCTATCGTCACCGAGGGAGCTGCTCCCCACCGCCCCCCACCCCCACCTTCTTCAAACTCCAGCAAAGTCCAAGTGGCTCAACCATGCCCTGCTTTTGCCTCTGACATGAGCCAATTATGAAAACCCTGGTAGAATGGGTCCCTTGTACCTCAGTGGCTTGCGATCTAGTTTGTCCTTACAACAGCCCCCGGTGGCGTGGGATGAGGTGGGGTGGAGTGTTGCATTGAGCCAATGTTGGGGGATGGGATGGATGGGTGCTGGGGTGTTGGGGTGGGATGGTGGGGTGGGAAGTGGTGTGTGAGGCTGGAGATACGGTGTTGGGTGAGGGGTGGGTTGTGGGGGTGGTGGGATGGAAAGAAAGGGTATTGAGCTGTGGGGCATGCTACGCTGTTGCATGGTAAAGTGGGGGTGCTGTTTGGGTGGCATGTGGGCTGGGGTGGGGGTGTTGAGGTTGGGTAACTGATGTGGAACCTTGGCTTTGTATTGAATTCCTGGCTCTCATTTGGTAGCTTTGTGACCCTGGGAAAGTACTCTAACGTCTCCCAGCCTCCGTTTCCCCACTTGTTAAATGCGCTTAGAATGGTGCTATGAGCTATGAGCATCTCCACTGAGGCTCCGAGGGGCGAAAGCCGTGGGTCAGTTCTGGTCACTCAGCTGGAGAACTTGATTCTCTGAGTGGGGCAGGGCCCTGCGTCTCTCAGCTCATCCACCTGAGCTGGAATCCTTTGAGACGCCCCTGGCCCAGGACCCAGGACACCCCAAGAGGGACAGCCAGGCAGCGGCTGAGCCAGGAGGAGGGGACTGGGGACTTCAGCCGCCTGCTGATGGCTGCCGCCCCCTCCTCCCCACAGCCTCAGTGACAACGGACTCTCGGTGGCGGGGCTGCCCTGGGTGCTGAGGGCAGTGAGCATGTGCCAGAACCTGGCAGACCTGCACATCAGGTGAGAGCTGGCCGTGGACGCCTGTCACCACGCCCTCCTCGGGCCCAGAGCTCCGGCTCCTCCCATCATTCCCGGTCAGGTTGCCTCCAGAGGGAGGGACCTAACAAAACCACGATATGGCTGCAGGGTTAGTATGGGTGGTGCAGACAGCACACATAAGCATGTTAACGCGGCATTTTTCTAACAAAGCTTTTCAAACAAACTCCAAGGTAGGGAGCGTGGTGTAACGAACACCAGTTCCCACCAATAATTACCCGCACTGTGTCACTCTTGCAGCATCTGTCCCTTGAAAACCTGATTTTTAGAAGAAAATTTGTCATTTTAATCCCATTTTTAAGAAAAAGGAAAAGGAAAAGAACATTCACTGCATTAAAAAGCAAAATACTTTGAAGGACCCTCTCCCAAATGTCGTCAGTGGTCACTGATACGTGGGAGAGACGGGGGTGATTTTCTTTTTACTTTATTATATTTTCTAAGTTCTCCATAGGGATGAAGTGGGACTTTTATAATGAGAAAAAATATATACATTCGGTTGGCAAGGCGAGGTTAGGGATGCCGGGCTGTACGTCACAGCCTCCTGTGGGTTCTCAATGTCTGCCCCGACCTGGCAGCGACCTCCCTCTGCTGGGCAAGCAACCTCCGCCCAGGTGCCACCGGTGGACCGAGGGAGGGTTTCAGCCCGACGCCCAAACCACAGAGACCACAGCACTGAGGTTTTCTTTCAAGGGCGTGCCCGGAAACGAGGGCTCACGATAGTTTGAAATCTGTGAAAGAAAGACTGCAGGCCCCTGGAAGCTCAGAGGGTCAGGGGAGGTCAGAGGAAGTGACTGCAGCTAGAGGCTGGGGGATGGCAACCAGGAGGTTCCTCCAGGTCAGGCTAAAAAATGACCCGGGCCCTGGCCAGTTAGCTCCGCGGAGAGAGCGTCAGCCTGCAGACGGAAGGGTTTGATTCCGGTCAAGGGCATGTACCCCGGTTGCAGGCTGGATCCCCTGGCCCCAGTCGGGGTGCGTGCAGGAGGCAACCTCTCTCACATCAATGTTTCTCTCTCTCTCTGTCTCTCACCCTCCCTTCCACTCTAAAAATCAATGGAAAAATATTCTCAGCTGAGGATTAACAAAAACAAAAACAAAAACAGAATGATCCGTCGCAGCCGGAACTCCATAAGCCTCTTGCCTCCTCCCTCCCTTCTCTCCGCAGCCTCATGCACAAAACTGTGGTTCTCACGTTTGCCCCAGAACCGGAGGAGCAGGAGGGGACCCAGGAGAGGTAGGGCCCCAACACCATCCCGACCTCACCCTAGGCCAGGGCCACCCCCTCCCTGGCTCCCACAGCTGGTCAGTGCCACTCAACTGCCAAGGAACCTTAACATTCACATAGGCTCAGCAAGCCAGCGGGCATAGAGGGGGATGCAGCCCTACAGGGGAGGGTCAAGGGAGAGATGCTGTCCCATCCCCTAGGGGCGCCTGAAGAGAGCCCTGTGATTCAGGATGGAGATGGCACCTCGCTGGGGCAGGCGCAGGGTAGCCAGAGAGACCCAGGCCCTTCGGCCTGAACCCGAGGATCGCCTGGCCTACGCGTCTGATTTTGGCCAGAATTTCTGGCTCCCTTTGGCACAAGGACCCTTAGAGAGTGTTTGCTTCCTCCAGGGTGCCTTCCTGGATTGCCCCGGCCCAGCACATAGGCAGAGACTCAGCTCTGTGCTCCTCAGTGTCCACCTGCAAGGTCTTCTGTAGGGTCTGAGCTTTCGGAGGCTTGCCTGAAGCTGAGGCTGGCATCTCTGAAGGCAATGATGATGAGGGGGAGGATGTTAATGATGCTAACGGCCAAGGTTAATGAAGCACCAAGCACCAAACTAAGGCAACTCACGTACATTCTCCAGTAAGAGCCTAAGTGATTGTCCCAGGTGACACAGCCAGGACACAGAGGAGCCTGGTGGAACCAAGGTCTGGCGGTCTCCAGGCCTGGGTGGAGACTGCATGGTGGGAAGCGCGTTTGCTCAGCCTGGCCTGGTGTGTGTCTCTCCAGGGCTGCGTTTCTTGACAGCCTTACGCTCCAGATGTCCTCTGAGCTGCCCCCGAGCTCCCTGAGGATCAGGTATGGTGACAACCTTCAGGGCCTGGGTGTGGCTCCCGCTCCCTCCCTCCCTCTGCACAAAGCCCGCCCCTGGCTCCCAGCCCCAGCTGCTCCCTGGATGACAGGATCTGCTCTAGCCAGGAGTTGGGGCCTGGCTTCCCTGCCTCCCACTCTCCTGCCCAGCCCTCCATAGTCACCTTCCCCACCAGCTCCCCCCTTAAGTGCCCCTAACTTCCAGCAGCTGAGGGGGTGTGGGAACTCTGGGCAGAGAGCATGGGGGGCTTGCAGCCCCTTCTTTTCAGGCCCTGAGGCTCAGCTCAGCCCCCCAGGACACTCATCGGTTCTCCTCTGGCCTCTCTCTTCTCTGTCCATCTGCCTCTCCCTCCCTCTGTCTGTCTCTCTCAGATCATGTCTGTCTGGTTTTCTGTGGACCTTTTCTCATTGTCTGTTTGTCCTTCTCTGGCACCATGCACACATGCACGTGTGTGTGTGTGTGTGTGTGTGCATCTGTGCCCTCTCTCTCTCTCTCTCTCTCTCTCTCTCTCTCTCTCTCTCTCTCTATCTCTCTCTCTCTCCTCTCTTTGTCCATCTTGGTGTCCCTCTCGCTGTGCCGCTGACTCTGGTTTTCCTCTGCCTGTGTGTGACGTCTGTGTGTTACGTGTTGGTCCCTCTTTGTCTGTCTGTCTGGGTGCCAGATGCGTCTGCCCCAGTCCCTGCTGCAAGCCTGTGTGCTTGGGGCCAGCCCGCTCTGGCCTCTGTGGCGGGGCTGCAGGGCTGTGGTTTTGCCTCCGCAGGCTGACACACTGCGGTTTGCAAGCTGAGCACCTGCAGCAGCTCTGCAAGGCCCTAGAAGGAAGCTGTCGCCTGGGCCACCTCGAGTGAGTGGCGCGGTCGGAAGGCGGGTGGGTGGGGCTGAGCAGTGAGTGAGAGCTGGGTTTTGTTTTGCTTTTTAAGATATGGACCTCCTGCTGCAATAGAGAATCTGGTGAAAGTTGTGCCTCTTCCCCCTGGAATATAGGTTCCCCCACACTTGACTCCCCCCTGAAGCCCATCCCTGACCCCCTCGGAGTCACAAACCCCAGGATAAGAACCTGGGGGAGACCCCAGCTGACCCAGCGCCACCTGCTAAAGTCTGGCCCCACCACACCGTGTCCAGTTTCAGGAGAAGCGGAGTGATTGAGGCGGTGGGATGGAGAGACAAAACTCCTGCCCACCCCTCCCTCCACCAACCCGTTCTCCCCGCCCCTCCCAGCTTATCAAGCAATGCTCTGGGGGATGAAGGTGCGGCTCAGCTGGCTCGGTGGCTCCCAGCGCTGGGCCCTCTGCAGTCCTTGAAGTGAGTAGCTAGCTGTCCTCATGGCAATGAGGGGATGTGGCTGGGGGGTGGGGGTGGGGGCGGCAGAGTGAGGGAGGCTCTCCTTATGTCCCATCTCTCTCCCTCCGTGGCTTCTCAGAAAGATTAAATGAGAAAAGGCCTGTCCGTTGCCTGGCCCAGTCCCTGGCACGTGGGGAGTGCTCAGGACAGGGCGTGATTCTCATTCATATCGAGGCTGGCGTCTGTGACTCAATGGTCCAGCTTCTGATTTAAGGTTTCACTTCCCGAGTCTGTTCCTGGGAGGCCCAGTCACCCCAGGCAAGGCAGGTGGGAAGTATGACTGATTGATGTAGGGCTGGCAGCCTTTCTGGCCCTGGGTGCAGGGCAGGGCTGTTGGCTGGGTGCAAGCTGGTAGGCAGAGAGGGTTCGGATCCCACAGGACACCCAAGCAGGGAGCCCGGGGCATCTGGAGGACCTGGCAGAGACGGGAGATTCTCAGAGGGGAGGTCTGGTAGGAGACCAGGAACCCCAGCCTTTGCCTGCAGCGACCAGACTTCCCGGGCCCTGAAAGCCTCCTGTGTTCTTGGCCCCACATCCCCTCCTCCCAAGCTCTTCTGGGACAAAGCGAGAGGAGCCCTGGAGAGCGGTCCCAGGTCCCAGGTCCTGGTGTGACCTTGAGCGGGTTCCATCACCTCCTGATAAACAGTAGCGGGGGTGTGCTTTGGCTCCAACCTTAGAAGGAGTCTGTGGCCTGGGGCCCTTCCTGCTCCGACAGGCTCCCTGGGATGCTGGGAAGGAGAGGAGGGGCCTGCACCTGGGTGAGGCGGAGGGCCTCCCCACTGCAGGCAAATGCTATGTTTCGGGGCAAATCCCCATGTGACTGTCTCCACACTGTGGACGCCGAATCTGACCCAGAGCCTGCGAGAGTCTGCAGGCACCTACCAGGGCCCCCGTCCCGAGGCGGCCGTCCTTAAATGGCAAAAAAAAGCCACCACCACAGGTGGACAGACATTGGTCACCGGGCACCACTCCCCTTTATCGGGCGCCTAAAAGCACTCCCCACCTTCATCGCAGCTAGAGGGAGCCACCGGGTCTAATCGCAGCTCTGTCACCCGTGTGTCTTGTAACTTTGGGCGAGACCTGGCTGCTTTCTGGGCCTCGGTTTCCCCATCCGAGTGGGGAGCTGGAAGAGGCGCGCTCACCTATGAGAGCTCCTAGTGAGTTTCATCATCCAGACGGGGGGGACCGCCCTCCCCTGACCTGTGCTCTGACCACACAGAGGGTGCTTTCAGTCTTGTCTCTTGAAACAAGACTGGGACCCCTGCCGACACCACACCTGTGATTCCCCAGCCTCAGTGAGAACCGCTTGTCCCTGGACACTGTGTTCAGTTTGGCCCAGTGTTTCTCTGCGGTGCCGTGGGTCCTCCAGCTGGACATCAGGTGAGTGAGCCTCAGGGCCCCGCCCGGCCCCCTCGTCTGCATTCACCACAGGCATCCTCAGGGCCCCTGGGGTCCCCGGGTCAGTGTGTGTGGGATGGGTGCCTGCTGAAGGAATGAATGAATGAATGAGTGAGTGAATGAATGAGTGAATGAATGAATGAATGAACATAGCCCAGGACACTCAAATTTCTCCATGGGACACAATCCATGGACTCCCTCACTCTCTGGGTTATTCTGGGAGACTTTTTCGTATATATTTTTCTTGAATTCAGAGAGGAAGGGAGAGAGATAGAAACATCAATGATGAGAGGGAATCACTGACCCACTGCCTCCTGCACACCACTCACTGGGGATGGAGCCCGCAACTCAGGCATGTGCCCTGGCTGGGAATTGAACCTCCTAGTTTATCGGTCAATGCTCAACCATTAAGCCACGTGGGCCAGGCTGTTCTGGGAGACTTCTAAGAAAACTGGGAACACCCTTGTGACCACTGCGTGCTCAGGGACTCGCTTTAATTGTGGGATCTCTGGAGCTGATGAAACTATAGAAGGGAAAATGCACCCAGCCACACAGCTCTGGGACATGCAATGTAGACCATGCATGCTTCCTTGAAAGGCCTGCCCATCCCTCCCCTCCCCCTCCTAAGAGTGGGCAGTGTGAGAGCAGACAGACCAGGTTCAAATCCAGGCTCACCAGTTCCCTACGGTACAGCTTCTAGCAGGTCACTGAGCCTCTCCACGCCTCCGTTTCCTCGTCTGTAAAATGGGGTAAGAATACTTCTTTACCTCACAGTTTTCGCATGAGACTCAACAGAGATCATGTGGCTGGTGTGCTTTGTATGTGCCTTAATACATGCAGCGGTTGTCATATAGTTACTGTGGTATTTGCTGAGAAAGAATGCAGGCTGCCCTCCAGCCTCCCCTTGACCTGGTCAGTCTGCTCTCATGCCCTTGACCTGGTCAGTGGGCCCTTCGCCTGGTCTCTGATTGCTGCCTCCCTTCTTCCTGCAGCTTTGAGAGCCAGCACGTGGTCCTGAGAGGCGGCAGAAGAGCCAGGTGAGGGCGGAGAGCTCCCAGGGTGAGGCGGGCTCCCCTTTCCCTCTGGCCCCTATTTCCTGGAGGAGCCCCCCACCCCAGACCCATGCGGACCACTGTCAGCTCTAAAGTAAACTCCCCTCCATATGAATTTGCAGGAATCTGCTGGCTTCACCCTCTTGGAAGAAGCCAGTGCAGAGGGAGGGAGGGGACGCTGGGCGGCAGGCACCAGAGTGGAGCTGGGGTGGCAGCTGCCGCTGTGGGGGAGGGGAGAAGGAAGTGTCTGGGGGACTTTTGCAGCCTCTGCAGACTCACAGTCTCTTATGAGTCACTGCCCTTTCACACCCTGAGGAGCTAGGAGCGCATCTGAGAAGCCAAGAGCCGTTGGCGCTCTGAAAGTTTCCAGGTCTGTGCTGTAAACAAAGAGCAATAGTGACTTCTCGCAGGTGCTCCCGGCTGCCCCCTGGTGGGCACCGCGGTCTCACTGGGCAGGTTGGCAAGCGCCAGAGCCACCTGATGCGGGCGCCTGGGCTGGTGCGGCAGGCAGGCAGGTGGCAGCGTCCCTTCCCCAGGTGGCTTTTGAAACCAGGGCTGGCCTTGGTCTAGGGTCTCTATTTCTGGGGACCCTCTGGGTTTTTGAGGCCCACACTGTGGAGGCACAGGGAGACAAGTCATGTGACGGCCACATCTGTGATCAGAGTGAGGAGAGGCTCTGTCCTGGCTCCCCCTAACCTGTCAGGGGCCGCCCCCGTGGACAGGTGGGCCTCAGTTTCCCCATCTGTACAGTGAGGGGATTGATTGTCTTGAGGGCCCCTCCCTGCCCTCACTGATGGGCCTGAGCTTCTAATGTGGATGATCTCAACTTTCCTCTCCAAACGTTTCCCCACCCAAGGCATCTGTCGGCCCGCCGCCCTCCGCCAGAGTCCCCCGCCCAAGCCCAGTCCTTGGGGTCCGGTCAGCGCTGCGTCCCCAGGAGCTTCTGGTACCTTCTTACCCACGTCTTGTTTGGGGGTAACCACAGTGGGGAGAGGGCTCAAGGAGCGAGGAGAGCCTGGGGGTCAGGCTGGGGATTGGGAGAGAGGAGAAAGGGAACTTGAGAGAAAGGGAGAGGGAGGGTGAGTGTGAGGACTGGTGATGGGGCTGTGGGCCCCGCACTCCAACCCCACACTGATTTCTCTGCAGGCTTCCAGCTCCCCCAAGACGGGCTGTGGGACCTGGCGGGCCCCTCCCTCTCCTGGCCTCAATTTCTTTTCTTTGTTTTTAAATATATTTTTATTGACTTCAGAGAGGAAGGGAGAGGGGATAGAGAGAAACATCAATGATGAGAGAGAATCATGGACTGGCTGCCTCCTGCACGCTCCCTGCTGGGGATTGAGCTGGCAACCCTGGCCAGGGAATCAAACCATGACCTCCTGGTTCTTAGGCTGATGTGCAACCACTGAGCCATGCCGGCCTGGCCTCATTTTCTTCACATAAGAAGAGACACCCGAGGTGGGGCTGAACAGGGTTGTCCTGAGGAGGGGAGGGTGTCCAGGTGGCCGGCCAGCTTGCACAGAGGCCCCGAGGAGGGAAAGCTGGGCTCGTGGGCAGCATTTCAGTGTGGCCACAGCATAGACAGGAAGCGTGGAAGCGAATGAGGGCGGGGGCGGGGGAGGAGAGGAAGGCTCTTTGCTTTTAGCCTAAGGGCAATGGGGAGCCACAGAGGGTTTCAGCACGGGGTGCGGGGCGGGGGGTTGGCTGGTCAGGTTTGCACGGCTCAAGCATCGGACGCTGGCAGGGGGAAGAAGGATGGGTGGGAGGCGAGCAGGGAGGCCGGGGGTGATAAGTGGACCAGGTGAGTGGTGGTGGCCGGACGCAGGCCGGCCTCAGTGGAGAGCACAGAGGGGCTGGAGAGGGCAGCTGGGTGCTCAGAGGGTCAGAATGGTGGGGATGGGGGGCTCTGGGAGACTTGGGGGTGGAGAGCGTACCCTGTGGGGGAGGAGCTGAGAGTCCCTGGGGCTGCACAGGGTCCCCCCCCCCCAGCCTTCTCTGACCCCCTGCCCTGCCTGCTGCTCCTTTTCAGCCTCAGGGAGTGTCGCCTGGAGGGCCTGAGTCTCACGCACCTCTGCGAGGCTCTGGAGAAGTGCCCGGGGCCTCTGGAAGTCAGGTCAGTAAGGAGGATGCAGCTGCAGGTGGGAATCTACCCCGTGACCTGGGGTGCGGGGTGAATCTTTTCTGGTTCCTTCCCACCGGACCGCACAGCTCAACCCCATGAGGGTTCCCTGGCCCATTGCTAGAAGCCTCAGTAATGAAAACACTTTCGTTATGGAAACTACCAAGCACATATACAATCGGAGAGAGTTGTGTAGTGGAGCCTAGTTCCCCTCTACCTACCTCCATAAGTCATCACTCCGTGGCCCAGCGCACACAGGGGCACGCGCATGCACCCCCAAATACCTCATTTTTTAAAAATATATTTTTATTGATTTCAGAGAGAAAGGGAGAGGGACAGGGAGCTAGAAAAAGAAATGATGAGAGAGAGAGTCATGTGTCAGCTGCTTCCTGCACACCCCACACTGGGGATCGAGCTCACAACCTGAGCATATGCCCTGACTGGGAATCGAACCGTGACCTATTTTATTCCGAGTGCCCCTCCAGGAGAACGGAGGCTAGTGCTCAGATGCAGAACTGCCCCGTGGTGTGTGAGTTACAGACCCTGTGGGACAACATCCCAGGACGGGGGCGCTAGGGTTGGAGCTGTGCTGGGAGCTGACTGGCGGGCGGAGATGAGGTCATGAGTCCTTTCTCTGGGTGCTGAGCACAGCTGTGAGGTGTTTGCCAGGGTCCCTCTGTCCAGTCTCATGGGAAAGTAGCCAGGGGGGGTCTGTTCCACCTTAGGGCTCGGGAGCCGAAACTTAGCAGGTCAATATGTGATTGTAGCCAGACCATTACCCAGGCCTGGTTTCTGCTGCCTCGGGGGTGACTGATTATCCGAGGGGACGGTCTCTTAGAGGAAGAGAGAGAGGGAGAGAGTT